CCCCGAAACAATCAGATCAAGTAAAAGCTGTGCTTTGAAAATTTGACATTGAAATTAAGCCATACATAATGTAATAGATCGGATCGAGATTCCAAAAAGCCATCCTGTTTAGGCCCATCTTAAATTCGTCTGGCTAAAGAAATTTGCACTTTAACGAATATTTGATTGGCGATTTGATTAACTCGCGAACGCCAACGCGAATCTGCCCAGCGGCGATTTGGATGGAGATTTTTCGAAAACTTTTATCCATTTTTGTGGAGCGTTTTCCATATAGTTCACCGTTCACCCGGTTCGGGAATTAGCGAGTTTATCGTTACTTAATTAATCGGTGTTGTTCATGCTTCGTCGCTTCTGGCTGGAAAAACTACGCACATTGCGAAATGTTAAGGTCGGGTTTTCATAATTTAATTAGTATTAGTGGCAGTTTGGCCAGGAACTGAAACGGAAATTACGGTTGTAATCGGGTGTCCCAAAAAAACCCAACACATACGATGGCTGAATGTTCTATGAGTTAATGGACAGCTTTATCATACAGGGTGATTTGCCGGTCCGGGGTTTTTCCTGAATGTTTTTTTTCTCATCCTATCTAACCGGAACAGCGACAGCCGATAACTGCGTAGTATTTAAAAGTGGGTTATAGTTTATTGATTGGCGGTTCATTCTCAGAGACGTGGCAACGCAGTATCCTACGCATTACTTTTGCGAATAACAACTCGCGGAAAACTGGATAGTAAATTAATAGATCAAAATAATTCTGATTCTGATTCAGAAACACAAGGGCGTGGCTAGAGAGGACAAATATTCATTCAATAATCGCAGTCTTTGCGGGCTACTAGAAACTGCCTAAAAGGGTGGAAGAAGCATTTGAGGTGCCACCGTTAATGCACCAGATTTCAACATTTACTCAGGTTTTGGCTCGCGTTATTCAATTTCCAGTGCTACGACAGTGATTTTAAGCAAAAATTATGCTTTCAACTTTCCCTGGAATTCTCAGCGATTCATGAAAAATCGGGCGTTTCAATTGCGCAAAGTGCGTGCTGTAAGCGGAAAACATTTCAATTTTTCAACTCAATTTCTTGTTTTGTGTTGTCAAGCCAAGGTTTAACATACATTTATTTTCTAATTGGGATCGTATTTTCACCTACTATGAGGCAATTTTTGACAATTCTCGATTTCGCACTTTTTCTTCGGGAAACCGTACAACTACAGAGCTTTCTTCATATGCATTTAGTCGAGCAAAGTGGGAAACTTTTCGATTTCAGTTATTCTAAAAATTAAAAAAAATCGCCTCTGGTTTTCGTCGAGGCCGGAAAGAACAGTAATTTTTTTTATATCTTGTGAAGTGCGGAAGTCAATTTGGCAAGCATTTTGTAGGGCAAATGGCCTTCTATAAGTGAAGAAAGTTTGAGTGAATGAATGAATGAAATTTTGGAAAAATGCGTAAATTTTGCCATTTATTTATTCAGGGACCAACGATGCCAGAACGTCAGTTTTGGATGAATTTTGTAGCTCAATCTCCCTTATACCAGTGAAATAAGTTGCGATTATTAATCGTCTTTAGGAAATTTTCGGGATTTTTTGTTCTAATTTGCTTGGCATTTTATGCAAGCGGACGTTTCTTAGTTATTTCTTCAGAAACCAGTTAAGCGGAAGAGTGTTTGTATAGGATTTTGTTGACGATAGTCCGTTTTATAAGTGGTAAAAGTTACGATTTTGAGAAATCATCTGGCTTGCAAGACCTTTACTTTCGGGTGCATTTTGTAGGGCAAAGTTTGCTCTATAAGTGGAAACAGTTTCGACTTTGAGTCAGCGTCAGTCAATTTTTGGCGATTTTTTTAGACTAAAGTTTCTAAGGTCCCAAAGCTAAATTATTATTGTCATTGAACATCTGGTTGTAAGAATCGGCAAAGTGAACGAGTTCTTGGAAATTTAAAAATACCTTGACTGATTCCTTCAAATTGCACGTATAAGGTAAAAACGAGTGCTCCTACTAAAGACAGCAGGATTCTTAAGCCGCCTCTAGAGCCCATTTATGGTTCATTTATATACGAAACGAACGAACATTCGGTACGCTCCTGAGTTAACTGCACCGCATACCACTTTCAATGAATAAGACCCTGCTGCGACCAGAAAAAATCTAATACATAGTTGTTATTCGGTTGTTACTGGTAGTAAAGTAACTCGTTATCAGCTCTGGTATGGCAGGAATTCCTTTTCAAACCTGTTTGGTATTTACAAGTGCAACCAAGCCAAAATGGGCGCATTCTTCATGACCGCGCGAATTTACACTCGCACTATTAATTAAAACAGCGTCCAATTTGCTCTATTCGTTCGAATCGATGCTCTAAAATTCAAAATAACTGACTGAGAGGTCAGCAAACAATGGCCGAATATCTCGCAAACAATGTCTAAAGGATGTAAATCGGGTGACCCAGAAGGAGAGGCAGTTAATCATTTATTTAAAACGCGATTTCCACAAGACGTAAACATTTGCTACTTGCCACGATTAAACATTCAACATCAGATTGACCAAAAACAAACAACTGAATGGGAAAGTTATGGAAAGTGTTTGATTTTTTTTAATCCGCGCTTGAGCCTTTCTCAAGGAAAAGGTGCGATTTCTAACGTTACTACAAAAAAGTTGCGGAAAATCAGTTGCAAAGGCGACGATTCTTTTTTTCTCTCTTATGCGAAAGTTTCAAAAATCAGGCCCAAACGCGATTAAAGCGGAACATTGGCGATTTATTCTTCGAAGTACTCGTACATACTTATATGAAACGATGTAATAGAAAAAATCGCAAACGGTTTGTTTTCGACAAATTAAAGCGACTGGAGAACCTGCTGATTGGCTGCAAATTCTGGATTTTTTAACTATTGCTAAAATTTGCCCTAAAGGGCAAAAAAACGAAACTTGTAGGATTCACCCTTGAAAGTCTCCTCATTTTAATAGAGCAACAAATGCGCTCTTAAGAAAATTTTGAATTTTTGTAGAAAATCTGCAAGTTTCAAGGCAAAGTCATTAAAACTTTGAAAAAAAAAACGTGCTCCAGCTTTTCTCCAAGTATCTCATAAAAGTAGGTTCTTAATAAAACCTGATTGAGAAAACTTAAAGTTTTTGAATTGATGAATGATTCGGAAAACATTTTATCAGCGTATGACAAAACTAATATATAAGTGGTTTACTCAAAAAAGACAAGAAAACGTTCCCATAAGTGGCAGTGTTTTGAACGAAAATGCT